CTGCTTCAGTGTTTGGGCTCCTATGTGATCTGGTTACTTTATTCTAGGCTTATTTTGCACTGTTTAAGACGAAGGTGCTTTGCTGTGCTAGTTAGGTGTTGTCAGGACTTGGTTGATATACTGTTTGTGTTTCTGCCCCATCTCTCTCTTATCTCATGGTTGAACGCGAGGGCCAATACTCTAAGGGCAAGGAGGACAGTGGGCTGAGTCGTGGTATGACTCTGGGTGATAGTCCTTCTCTCCCGATTAGTCCGGTCAAGCTTGATGGCACCAATTACTTGATTTGGTCCCGCTCCTGCAGTCTTGCCATTGTTGCCCGGCGTTTAACTGGCTGTATTACTGGTAGTACCAAGCAACCTACTGAGGACAGTGCCTTATCTGCCCAATGGATTTTGGAGAATGCTTTAGTGATGACCTGGCTGATCAATTCTATGGAACCTACCATTAGTAAGACTTTTCTCTTAATGGATACCGCTCACAAGATCTAGCTAGCGACATCTCAGATGTATTCTCAACAGGGTAATGATGCACAGACTTATGAATTGCGAAAGAAGATTCGAGGCTTAGATCAGAAAGATCGCTCTCTGGCAGTTTACTATGCTGAGTTGAGTGGTTTATGACAAGAGCTAGATTGCTACCAGAGTTTCCAACCCGTTTGCTCCACGGATGCCACTATGTTTCAGCAGGTGGTGAAGAAGGAGCAGGTGTATGACTTTCTTGCTGGCCTGAATTTGGAGCACGATTAGATCTGGGTTCAAGTGTTGGGTCGCTCTCCGTTTCCCACATTACATGAGGCTTATGCACTAGTTCAACAGGAGGAGGAGAGTCGTCGTAATGCTACGGTGCATGCCCCTGTTCAGGACAGGTCAACGATGGTTGTTGGCCCCAAGTCCCGTGGTACTTCGCCTTGTCCACCTCAGGGTGGTGGTAAGGGTCCATTGGTTGATCGAGACCGTTTGAAGTGTGATTATTGTGGGAAATATATACATGATAAAGAACACTGTTGGAAGTGGCATGGTTGGCCTACTCGAGGCCGTGGTCGTGGTCGTGGTCGTGGTGTTCGTCCTCAAGCCCATGTGTCTGAGACTGCTGCTAGTGCCTTGGATGATGCTGGTTCTATTTCCCAGGATGAGCTTCACACTCTCATACGTTTGATGGCTCGACTTGATTCTTCCTCTACCTTAGCTCCTTCCTCTTCTGTCTCTTCCAACTTTGCCCACACAGGTATTTCTGCTAGTGCACTTAGTACCTCTTCGTCGTCTCCTTGGATCATTAATTTCGGTGCTACCGATCACATGATGGGTACTTCTAGTTTTTTCTATTCTTATTCACCTAGTTCCGGGCGGCAAGATAAGGTTAGAGTGGCTAATGGCACTTTATCTGCTATCTCCGACAAAGGTTCTGTTCATTGCACCTCTTTACTTTCGCTTTCCTCTGTTCTTCATATTCCTAATTTTTCCACTAACTTACTTTCTATTAATAGCCTTATTACTGCTCTCAATTGCTCTATAACCTTTTTCCGACTCATTGTGTCTTTCAGGAACTGGCTACAGGGAAAATGATTGGCAGTGGTAGCACACACAGTGGACTGTACTTTCTGGATGCCGCTTCTGCATCAACTTTGTCCTCTCAGGCTCTTCAATGCACTTCTGGCTCCTCCCTTCACCGCCTTCATCAGTGGCATCGCCATTTGGGGCATCCTTTTTTTAGTATTTTAGAGAAACTTTTTCCTTCTTTAGTTCGAGATTGACCTAGGAATAACTTTGTTTGTGATGCTTGTAAGCTTGCTAAGCATAAACGTACTTGTTATCCCTCTATAATAAAAGAAGTACTTTTCATTTTATACTTATTCATACTGGTGTGTGGGGTCGTTCCCCTGTGGTTTCTACCTCCAGTTATCGGTGGTTTGTCACGTTTATTGATTGTTATTCCCGTGTGACTTTGATTTATTTACTTCGCACTAAAAATGAGGTTTTTCCGTGCTTCAAAACTTTTCATAAAATGGTTTCAAATCTCTTCAATGCTACTATCAAAATTCTTAGGAGTGATAATGGGACTGAATATGTTGATGGAGCTTTCAGGGCATACCTCGAGGAGCATGGCATTCTTTATTAGACTAGTTGTGTTGGCACTTCTGAACAGAATGGAGTTGCTGAACGCAAAAATGGCCACCTCCTTGAGGTTGCTCGCTCTAACTTGTTTACCATGAACGTTCCTAAGTCTTTTTGGGGGGATGTTCTTACCGCGGCTTACCTTATTAATCGTATGCCCTCTGGTGTCCTCCACTTCCAAATTCCTCTTGAGCTCCTTCCTATCACTTATCCCACTTCTTCCCTTCCACCTCGGGTTTTTGGTAGTGTTTGTTTTGTTTATCTTCAACCTCGTACTCATGGGAAACTTGATCCTAAGGCTGTCCAGTGTGTCTTTCTTGGTTATTCTACTACTCAGAAGGGTTATAAATGCTATGACCCTCACACTCATAAGTTGTATGTTAGTATGGATGTCAATATGGATGTCACCTTCCGTGAATCTGAGTCCTTTTTTCCTTGTCACCCGCTATCTCCTCAACGAGAGAGTGGTATAGATGAGATTGTGGATGAGACGACATCCTATCAGCATGAGTTGCCTTTTTTCCTTCCTAATCAGCGGGCTATTATTTGTGGTAAGGGAGAGCCTATGAGTTCTGTTGATGAGACTGATGTTGGTGGTCGTTTGGACAGAATTGATCTTAAGACTTATTCACGGCGTCAGAAAGAGCGGGCTTCTCTTGTGCCACCGGGTGAATCATCATCTCCTATGCCTGTTCCACGCCCAATTTTCACTGACTCTACAGGTAATGATCCTCAATCCATTTCTTCACCTGTTGTTGATAGTTTTGTTGCTGATGATCTAAGTCTTCCTATTGCTCTCAGAAAGAGGGTTAGAGTCTGTACTCAACACCCCATTTCTAAATTCGTGTCATATGCTTCGTTGTCTTCTCCATATCGTGCTTTTGTTTCATCTCTTTCTTCTATGTGTATTCCACAAGGTTGGAAAGAGGCCATAAATGATCCTAAGTGGAAGGTAGCTATGATAGAAGAGATGCAAACTTTGAGTAAAAATAACACATGGGACTTGGTATTTTTACCTCATGGGAAAAAACCAGTCGGATGTAAGTGGATGTTCACTATCAAGCACAATGCAGATGGGACGATTGAACGGTACAAAGCAAGACTAGTGGCCAAGGGATTTACCCAGACATATGGAATAGACTATCAAGAAACTTTTGCCCCAGTAGCAAAGATGAATTCCATTCGAGCTTATCTGTCGTGTACTGCTAATTTGGGATGGCCTCTACAACAACTAGATGTGAAGAATGCTTTTCTTCATGGGGATTTGGAGGAGAAGGTATATATGGATGTACCTCCAGGATTCTCATCACAGCCTACAGTTGGAAAGGTTTGTAGATTGAAGAACGCTTTATACAGTTTGAAACAATCTCCTAGAGCCTGGCTTGGTAGATTCCTAAAGGCAATGCTAAGATTTGGATATCAACAAAGCAATGCTGATCACACCTAGTTTGTCGAACACAACGTACATAAGGTAACAGTGCTTATTATATATGTGGATGACATAGTTGTGACAGGTAATGATGGGGAGGAGGTGACCCATCTCAAGATGTTAGCCAAGGAGTTCGAGATAAAAGACCTTTGAGATACTTTTTTGGAATTGAAGTTGCTAGATCTAATAAAGGCATCTTCATTTCTCAAAGGAAGTACATTCTAGATCTTCTTGCAGAAACGGGCATTTTAGGCTGCAGACCAGCTGAGTCACCGATTGAGACTAATCATCGTCTTTGTAGTGGGGTTGGTGAACTTGTGGAAAAGGAAAGGTACCAAAGACTAATATATCTATCTCATATTCATCCAGATATTATCTATGCAGTTGGGATAATGAGTCAGTTTATGCATGATTCTCGTGCAACTCATTTGGATGCAGTCTATCTCTTTTGAGGTACCTTAAATCTGCTCTTGGAAAAGGAATTTTGTTCTCTAATCATGGTCACTTGAGGTTGGAAGCGTTCACAGATGCAGATTGGGCAAGCTCTATAGATGACAAACGCTCTACCTCTGGTTACTGTGCATTTGTAGGAAGAAATCTAGTCACATGGCGTAGTAAGAAGTAGGCGATAGTATCCAGATCTAGTGCTGAAGCTAAATACAGGGCTATGGCACATGGCACATGTGAACTAATGTGGCTTCAATCTTTGTAGATTGATATAGGGCTTGATTGTAGTGATCCCATGATTTGTATTGCGACAACAAGGCTGCTATTAGTATTGCACACAATCCTGTTCAACATGACCAGACTAAGCATGTTGAGACTGACAGACATTTCATTAAGGAGAAGTTGAATAAAGGTGTGATATGTATGCCTTTTGTTAAGTCTGAAAATCAACTGGCAGATGTTTTTACTAAGGGTCTTAGTAGTAAAGTCTTTCACCCAATTTGTTGCAAGTTGGGCATGCGAGACATCTTCGCACCAACTTGAGGGAGAGTGTTAAGTGTTAAGGGTAATTTGGTCTTTGTGTCTTATTCTTATTAGTATAAATAGTTGTGTGTTAAAGGGAAAACCCTATGTTTTGAATCAATACACAGCAGCTGGTTCTCTCTCTCTCTCTCAGTTCTGCAACCTCTCCTTCTCCTTCTCATCTATCCATTCAACAAGAACCATGGATGCAATCAACATATTATGAACTCTAGATAACCAATACAGATGTGGAAACAACTGAGCAAATGGAAACTCCCCCCTCCAAGAGTCTTCCCAAAATTGAAACAATGTTACAATTGTACTGCTTTCTCCTCACATTATCCTAAGCGTAGTTATCGAATTCACCATCATAACTAACACCATCTCATTATCATCTAGACATCGGTCACCTTCTCGACACAACCACTGGGCATGGTTTTGGGTATGTAAAGCAATCTTTTCTTTTGAAATGGTCAATTTCAGGTCTTTGGCCAACCTTTCTGTTTTTATACAAAAATATACTCAAAAAGACACAACACAAGAATTTTGTCAAGAGAGGAGAAAAAGAAAAAGAAAAAAAAAAAAAGAGGAGCCTCAAAGATACAAAGAAGGAAATCACAGAGAAAAGAATGCCAAAAAGGTATGCACACAATATAAAAGAAAAATAAAGTTTTAGTTTCCTGCCTCTTTTCTTTGGAAGGAGCCTTGTTTGCAAGTCTAGCTGTTTGTACAGCAGCATCTGCAGATGCAGCTTCAGGAGTTGCCCGCAGAATCTCACATATAAGTTGTTGGCATTCACTCTATTATACAAAATTAGAAAAATATAGACTCAATGAGAACTAAATCTATGAACCAATATTTTTAATTAAATGGACAATATTGAAATTCATAAAATGAAATTTTTTCAATTGGTCGCTAGATTAGCACCAGAAAGCTAATGACAAATACGATGGCACACACTACCTGCAAAACTGTCAATGAAAAGCCGATACTGTAGCCTCCAGTATCATGAGACGCATCGGAATCAGGGTTCCAATTTATCTCTGCCATTGACTTTGGTGTGTTCATGTCACTTTGTTGTGAGGATTTTGATTCTAGAAGCTCTCCAACAATAACATGGTTCTCTGAACATTTATATGGTCAAACTTAAATTCAACAAAGGGGAAAAGAATACCCAAAACTAAGTATTATATAATTATATCTCACCGAATATCCGAACAACAGCATCCAAAATCGAATTAAGAAGTTCCTTTGCTGCAGCCTGTGCTGTTCCCATGGGAGCCATCACAGGTGAGACAGGGCTGACAGCCAATAGCGTTCCAGCCAATGATATTCCATTCTGTCGCTTCTGCTTTGGCAACTGGTAGCTCTCCAAATGTCCTTTCAAATAATGCAGACCAGTAGTAATAGTTTGGGCGGCCTGACCAATGCCAGCCCTTGAGCAACTAAAGTGCTCTGCATAACCTTTGATTTTGCCAGTGATAATGTCGTGAATTGTAGGACGCAATCTTTGGCTGTTACAAAGGAAAATCAAGGAGGTAAAAAGATCATCCTGAAATACAAATCAGATACAAACTTATATTAAGAACACTATCAGTTCTACAATGAAGTTTGTCTTGACAATGCAAACCATAACGTAATCAGTCTTCAATGAAAAACAAGACTACATGCGTTAAGTATTTCTCAACATGGAAATTCACATTGAGGTCAGTTAACCTTTGACACGAGAGTATCACATCATCAATGAACTCAAAGCGATGCTGAAGAATACATTTCCCAAATGACAGCACATAAAAATTTATTGTAATATCTACTTGAGTGTTGAATAATTTTTCTAGCACTAAAACATTGATCTGCTAGTACGTATCAAAACATGAAATCAGAATCTATGCAAACAAAGAATACACAGTCCTGATACATGTATTTTAAGGCTTTGATTTAAATGAGAATTGCTTTGATGTGCATATGGGCATATTACACAAAGGCCCGGTTTGGATTACAACAGCTTTGATGTGTTATCGCCATATCACACAAAGGTCTGGCTTGGAGGAGGATAGCTTTTTTGAAATGCAAAAAATTTAATCAGGGACAACATACCATATTATAACACCAGCAGCTGAAACTTTGCCAAGCATGCAGAGGCACTCAACCATGGTCTGTAAATACTTCACATGAAGCGGAGCATCACTCTTTCTCATTGCTTCCTACAAGCAAATTTAAAATAAAACAACTCAACCTATTGACAAGATAAAACGATTACAAAACTATTAGATGTTATTGTATAAGTATGTACAGTGCTCATACAACAAATTCATCGGGAGTGGAATCTGAAAGCCAAGTTGAAATTTGACGAGAAACAATTTTCACATCCTTATCACCACCGTTGACCCTTATTGGTGCAGTATGTCCATCTAATGCAGCTTCATCATGTATTTCCATAGCACCATCTTCATCATGGCCATCAAATGATGAACTGAAAAGCATGTTTAGAAAGGAAATAGGAAGAAGAAGAAGAAGAAATGCCTTAATAATCACACATAACTAAGAACCAAAAAAAAAAATTGTATTATTATAGCAATTCAATGAATCTTTTCATATACTTAATGCATGAGGGGAGCATAAGGGATGTTTAGTTTTCTCAATGACACCCATGTAAGCAAATTTTCCATATTAATACTATTAGTGTCTCTGAGGCAAAGTGGCTATCGTGAACTATTAGCTGACAATGTTGCATAAAAACAAGACCGCCACTATCTTCCCATTTTTATAAGGATTTATTGGTAGCTAATAGCTATATAAAAATGGAGTAGCTTTATTTTGAGATTTTCTTTTAATCTCTATACAGCCTATGCAGCAAAATAAAATTATTCAATAACCAACCTAAGAGGAAAAATAAAAAATTATTATAGTCCAAAACTGAAGAATGATAGCATTCCTGATTTAATTCAAGTAATGCATTCACACTCCAGGGTAGCTTTTTATCCTTGAGGCAAGGAGAAGACTAAGACAAACCATTCTGGGAATAACAGCTACCTTCGACACACAGGTCAGAAACTATAAGTATCCAAGCCGTATCCATGTCAGAAACTAATTCTTCAAATACTCCCGGACATGTGTCTAACTTCCAGGAAGGACTAACAATCTGAATTTTTTACTTATAAAAATAAGTACATATAATTGCAAAATAATTTTACACGTCTCCTGTACTCCTGCAGTACTTGGAAACATCTGACATGTTTTCAATATTAACATGCACTTTAATAAACATTTAGGGAAAACATAACTAGGGACACTTGGACAATGGTTTAAAAAAAGAACTAAGAGATAGGAAGAGTGATTTTAAATTGGTACTTATAAAAACAAAATCATGAATTTGATCCTAAAAACATGTCCATGCACTACTCTCAGTTTCTCATGGGTCTTTTAGCATCATAAGATAGAAGTTTACAATATTTGACAGATTTAAGTTAAAAAAAAATTATGAAAAACATTTGTATTCCTTATGTTCCTAAATATTTTCATATAAGCATGTATGTATTGTCATATCCTTGTAATATTCATGTCTCATATATCAAACTTTGCAGGATCATGTATTAGTAACTGTTCATTCTGTATCCATATCCCTAATCCATGTTCAGGTCACAGACTGCCACCATAGTGCAGTCTTAGCATGAATGTTGAATGAACCGTTATAAGAATAGCAAACGGAAAAAGAAATTGACAATCAATCCCATATTACTAAGAATTTTTATGGATTACTAGCGCTAGAACCACCAGCAGTGAAAATACAGCTAAGAAATTAGTTGCAGAACTGCATTTTAGTAATATGACTTAGCCTTACCCCCCATCAACAGAACTAGTCCTATAAGATCCATCGCCAACTCCATAAGAACCAAACTGATTGTCACCTTTCATTGACCTTGTTCTTCGAGAAAGAGGTATTGAATTGTTCATCGAAAATGCAATAACTGTGGTGGTTGGCACTTCGTCATCCCTTTCATTTATACTTGACGAATCTAAGCTGCAGAAACGTATTCATCTTAAGAACAATAAAAACCCTGAAAAAAATACCCCTCAATAATAGAGAAAGCATTAATGACAACAGCAATATAAAATTGAACATTCCTAAAATGAGACCCATGACTAGAGAGACAGAGAAAGAAGAGGAGGGGTTCTTCATAAAACTCTAAATGGATTAAATAAGGTAGGTAAATCACATAGTGATATGTTTTAGAATGCAGCATCTCAAGAAAACACGGCTAGAACGAACTTAACCTAAGAAGCACAAACACAGACACAAACACATAACATGACACTGACATGCTGACGCAGAAATTTTCAAAAAATATGACACAAGGACACTTGCAAATATAAAATTTATAAATTTATTATGTCATATATAAGGATAAATAATTACTCCCTCCGTCCCAAAATATTGGTCCCTTTTGGGGAATCCAACTTTTTTTGGTAGTACACTTATTGCATTTGAAAAAAGTTGGTTTTCCAAAATTACCCTTTTGATAGTACATTTTTTGGGAATATCAATGTCATAATTGTACTTTTTAAATTGTTTATTAATTTAAAAGAAGGACAAAATAGGAAATTTACATTATTTTTGTACTTGATTTATAAAGAGGGACTAATATTTTGGGACAATGAAAAATGGAATAAGGGACTAATATTTTGGGACGGAGGGAATATTAGAAAAAATAATATCAAAATCATATTCACTGTGTTTGGTTTGAGTTTTCTGGATTAAGTTTTTTAAAAATTGACTTTTTTGGTTTTTGTGTTTTTTTATTTTTAGTGAATATTTTTAAAATTTTAAACATTAATTTGTAAAAAATATTTTTTTTTAAATTAATAAATACATAAAAATACAAAAAAT